CGCTATCATGTTGCTACATTTCTTGTTTGCACTTGGTGAATATCATCTGTATGTTTGCCGGTACATTATCCTGAAAGTATATAAAGCTTGTTTAACTTAAGGTAACTTGTTGTAATTGTCATCCAGGTGCCATCCATGGGTGCCCGGCGCAATTTGATTATTGCAGCCAGCGCCCTCCAGTAACTACAGGCCATCCAATAGGGAATTTGGATTTGCCAATCTAAACAACCCCCTAAACACAAATTTATGTGATTCTAGTAAAATTGGTTAAAAATTTATTCAGAAAAAGAGAAATTTGTATTTACACTTTGACACTGTATCACGGAATCTATTAACTTTCGGATAAGACAAATTTGCCCGAAACGCAATATATTTGCCTAAACAATATGTCAGGGAATTTTTCTACATTAGTTGCGGACCACCCTGTATACACTAACAGTGTATTTACACTTTCCGTTTAAGTAGTCCAAGTTAGACGTTAATGATATTTAGCTGGAATTAAGCGAGAAGCTCAATACTTATTATAAGTAAAAATAAATCTAATGCCTGCTGCTTTTAAGTCATGAGGAAGACAAAAAATGTGCTGATATAAAAATATCATCGGCTTAAAACTAAAAGTGACCAAGTCCCAAATTCCGTATTTGTGTTTGGTTGACCAAACAATTATAAAAATATGTATTTTTTGTCGTCAAAAACTGCCGAAGTCCCCGAAGGTTACACAACTAGGTGCACTAAAATATTCTTTTAATGGCAGAGTTTCCAAAAGTTCCAAAAGTCTTCTCATATAATTTTCAGCTCGGTTGCAAAGCGCATCTACCAACAATTTCTATTTTAAACTTGCTCAGTTTTAGCTTTAATCCCACGGTATATCATAACCAAAGAGAAGCTCTGGTAGCTTAAAGGTGAAAATCTGTAGAAATTTAGTCCCTTTTCTGATGATTTTTAATAATTTTTACTTGGTAATTTTTTAAATTTTATTAACTAGGTCGCGTGACGAAAAATGTCGGTTTCTTTTATTCATGTAACGTTAATATGCCCCTTAGTGATCTTTTCAGTGCCACCAACTCAATTCATCATCTCTATTTTTGTTGCAGAACAAAAGAGCGTTCCCCACATGAATTCTAATGAAAAGGGTTGGTAATCCATGTTGTGCGGCGCTCCATCCTTGGGAGTCTCGTTTTCATGCTTGTAATCGCTCGCTTTTTAATATTCCTTAATTACTAAACCGTTAGCAATCCTCGCCTTGCGCTGCTTTGTTCTTGGAAGAAAAACGCAAGTGTTGCTTGATCAAAAATTGTTTCTATAGTACCCTTTAAATGTAGATTTTCTTTTTTACATAAATTAAATGTCACGTAAGTTTTCCGAACAAATATTGGGTCCTTGCAGCAATGCTCGATATATTTTATTACTTTTTAAGACATCCATTGTTGTAAATTTAACAAATCAGTAAATTACTAAACGAATGAAAAACATGAATCGCTTATTTGCAATTGAAAAACAGATTTTGAACTGAGCTGATGTGGAATATGATTTATTAAAAAAAAAAGCAAAAGTAATTAACTAAATAAAAATAATTTCGGAATGTTGCCTTAACGTTATGACTAAAGCTCGGATTAAAGGCAAATTGCCTTTTTTTGCCTATTTTGCTTATTTCAAACATTTATTGGACGTTTTGCCTTTTTCAGAAATTTGTGTCAAGTTTTGCCTTTTCTCAAGATTTTCGGCGCCTTTGTTACCGATTCCCGGGAAGGAAGACACCCCGCTAAGCGGTACGTCTGCTAGAATTGCATGGCAAGTGTCAAAAGTCTTGATGCAATAATTTTTTATTGTTTTGTTTCCAAGTAGTATATACTATCTACTACAAAAGGCATTGTGAAATCAGAGGGTTGACCATTGTCTATTGAGACAACACCATTGACTATTGAGCAAACACACAACTGTGCTCGGCTACCCTTTTTACTA